TGATACATAAAACCATAGAACTCAAAGAGGGTGTACTTTCTTTTTCACACAACTGTAAATCCATCACTTTTTGATGTCTGAAGTGAGCATGATTTTATATTTCATTCCATATACAGAAACTGATCCCTAACCATAATTATTTTTAAGATATTCGTACAGACTGAAAAGGTTACTATAAAGTTTTCATTTTGTGGGCATGAGTTTTGAGATAATTCTTGAAATATTATGATACATATATTAATGTACAAGAATGTATCTGTATATCAAAAAAGCATGTGGAAAGGAACTCTTAAATCTTGAACACTGACTAAAGATATTAAGTTTATTCAACAGAAAATCTTATTTTGTGTTTATTGGACTCCTCAAAGAATATTTAAAGAACAATTTGGTTTCAAGTCATTACATATGTTAATACAACTTTGAGGGAAGACTGTTTTTAAATTAAAAATGTAATTATGAAGTAGAATCATATTCCCAAAATAAGGAATTTGATGTTATGAAGAACTAAAGCTCTGTTGAGCCTGAAGTTTGGCTATGAGAACTTAGGTGAAAACATTTTTTTATGTCAACGATGGATTCAATAAATGTATTCTTTGTCAATTTTTGAAATGTTCCTGTTTTGCAGAAATGAGATTATGGAGCAGTATGTTTCTATGTAGTCTCAATTTAATATGTTAAAAGAACTGAGGTAGCTGTATATTAATACTACATTGATCTTTTTTAAAGTTTTATTTTATTTTTGCCATTATTGTACATACCTTTTATTGTATCATCACTTTTTTAAAATCTTTGTTAAATTTCATTAATATTTAAAAAATAATTGAAGATATAGGATCAGGTTTTGTCATTAAACATTGGGGATTATTTTGAATTGTTAGGATATTGTCCTCTGTCACAGTATCATTGTAAAATTGTCTTCTGATTATTAATTCAGTAATGTTACTGTTTTTCATGGGACATGAAGTAAGAAGACAAAGTACAGCAGGCATGGAAGAATTTATGTTTACATCACTTCTGTAGTTAGGACTAGAGCAATCAAAATGGGAAAGAAATTATTAAACTTGTGAGTTTGTAGATGATAGAGGTTCATTTTCTACAACACATCTTTTGAAAATGTAGCAGAAATTTATTAGTGCTTAATGAAAACCATAAAGTTAGGAGATGAACTCATACATAATTTTAATCAGTAGCAAAATAATTTCTTTTCCTTTTAATTAAAATTTACAGTAAAGTTACAAACATTACCACTCATTTAAAATTGAGGTATTTCCATTTTTTAAAAAATACAATACATTTTACAGTAAAGTGCATATGTAAAATAATTTTTGCCCTAAATGTAAACTAGGTAACAAGCAGTCAATACTTGTGTTACATCTTTATTTTGAAGGCTTTTTTTAAAAAATAGCATTTAAGGCACGTTGCAAATAATTATAAGTTACAAATATAGCAACTGAGAGTATACTAAATAAATCTCAGTTCAACAACCTTTATTAGGGCCAAGTCAGTATCTTCTTTGCTTTAGGTTATGGGTGGCATCCAATATGCTCCTATACCTTTGCATGTGAGGCATTATGTCCATGTATGAGGGAGATGTGACCTGTAAGAATGAAAAACAAACATTAAATAAGATGCATTAGTATCAACACACACAAAATAGTAATGGCAATCCCATTACCTATACGCCATTTGCAACTATTTATACCTAAGTTAATATGGATAACATATTTGCTAGTAGTAGAAATAGTAAAATACACCAAAACAAAATAGTAGAAATAGTAAAATACACCAAAACATAGAAAGGACAATCTTAGGAAAAGTAGTGATCAACAGAAATTGGGAGGTGAGGCATAGTATAATTCTATGCAACTTCATTTGAGTCCAGTTGAATTTATTCCAGATAAATAAACATAAGATTACAACCCAAATTAATAAAGCTATCTACCCACTAATATTGGTAGGAGATAAAGAAAATGTAGGAAATCTGCAGTCCAGCTGCAGGTTCAATACAGATTTATTTCAAATGTTGAATGTCTATCTGTGATATAAGGAAAAGACTAAAAATTTGTTTTATTTTAATAATATCAATATAGTTTTAGTCTTACCTTATTCTCTATTCCCAAATGCTAATGTTACTTGGAGCTTAGTCCATTTTAATTATACCACTAGCAGCATGGGTAGAAACTCTGTCTAGATAAGGTACATCAAGTAAAAACTATGGGCCAGGCTTTCTAACTTTTATATGCCTATTCCCATTCTTTGGTTTAGGGGCAAACCCGCCTGCTTGTAACAAAATGTTAAAGGGAATTCTAAAACAGAGGTTTCAGTTTTTGCTCAATTTTCTCCTCATCAGCCGTCACCCACATCCTTACTATTTAATACTGTATTGTAGTCAGTACTCCAACAATATAGAGTTTGGCAAAGTATATGTTCCCCTTCAGAGTATTTCTGTAGAAAGGCTCATATTGCACAAATAAACCTGCAAGATTCAAGCACTCCGTCTTTCATTGCAAATAACTCAAGGGATCCAGATTGCCTACTCCCAAATTTGATCTCCTATTCCCAAGCAGGAAGTTGACAGAAAATCTACCAGCATTCATATTGGAGCAGATAATATTTATAATTCACCTCTTCTAACTTTTTCACTCTTATCTGTTTCTTGCCTCCCTCATGTTACAGTGGTTAACTACAGTGGGGCAAAAAAGTATTTAGTCAGCCACCAATTGTGCAAGTTCTCCCACTTAAAAAGATGAGAGAGGCCTATAAATGGAAGACATACAAGACCACTGATAATCTCCCTCGATCTTGCTTGCCTATTGCAGATTCAGTCTTCCCAGCCAGACATACAAGACCACTGATAATCTCCCTCGATCTTGCTTGCCTATTGCAGATTCAGTCTTCCCAGCCAGACATACAAGACCACTGATAATCTCCCTCGATCTTGCTTGCCTATTGCAGATTCAGTCTTCCCAGCCAGACATACAAGACCACTGATAATCTCCCTCGATCTTGCTTGCCTATTGCAGATTCAGTCTTCCCAGCCAGACATACAAGACCACTGATAATCTCCCTCGATCTTGCTTGCCTATTGCAGATTCAGTCTTCCCAGCCAGACATACAAGACCACTGATAATCTCCCTCGATCTTGCTTGCCTATTGCAGATTCAGTCTTCCCAGCCAGACATACAAGACCACTGATAATCTCCCTCGATCTTGCTTGCCTATTGCAGATTCAGTCTTCCCAGCCAGACATACAAGACCACTGATAATCTCCCTCGATCTTGCTTGCCTATTGCAGATTCAGTCTTCCCAGCCTGAGGTATACCTATGATGAAAATTACAGGCCTCTCTCATCTTTTTAAGTGGGAGAACTTGCACAATTGGTGGCTGACTAAATACTTTTTTGCCCCACTGTATGTACACGTGGGGTTCCCCCCACATTAGGAAATAATTTTGTTCTCCCCCTCTTCTTTCCACACAGCCCTTATCTCAGTTGCCAACTAAACTGCTGATGTTCCCATTCAGTTATTACTTTTGTAATAAACTATGCACCTTGTACTGGTCTCTGGCTCTTGTCATAATAATAATTACCCTTGTCTCCCACACAGTGAGTACAGACAACCTAATTTCATATGGATTGCTGTTTTTTCTTTTTGATACCCTAATTCCTCTCCATATAAACAGTGACTCTGGGATTAAACACATAGCACATGGAACAAACTTGCACATACTTAATGACACTGAACTACAATTTCTTTCCTCTCTATTGTTCCTTCTAACTGGAATCTGGATATTGAAAACTTAGGGAGTTAAGAGTCAGTGAGAGAAATGAACAAGTAGAAAAACAGAACAAATAGTATTTGTTCTATTTTTCAACACTAGGTCTACATGGGGTTCCCACTTGAAGGAGAAAAGATGATTTGGGGTTCTCACATAGTTGCAGTCGTCAGTTCCTTTAGAACAACACATTTGCTTTAAGGAGGTGTTGGCAAGTGCCACATGCATGTCCATGCATGCCCTGTATCACCTTTCTCCCTTCAAATCTGGACTGCTGTACTGCCCTAAGCAACTACTTCACAGGACATCATAGTGTGAATTGCGTAGTAATCCTGCATAGCCTCCTTCCTGGTGTGAATTTCAGTCTGCGTTCTGTAGAGTAGACTACCCAAAGATAAAGTACTTGATGTAGAAGGTATAACTTACTGTAGGCTTGCAAATCAAACTTTTTTTCTAATGGGATCCACAAAAGAAAGATGTCCTAGAAGGATATGCATCTATTTTGCATGCATATTAAAAAAGGGAAGGGATAAATGTTTTGAATGTAGAATATTTTATTTAGATTTATAGCCACCCTCTTCCCTATTCACATCTGAGCCCCAAATAACATTCTCAACAAGTAGAAAGCCGGTGGTAAAATGGCTTTTTACCTAAAGTATTGGCTTAGGGCTGAGAAGTTCCTGGTTCAATTCCACTCTTAGCCATGGAAACTCAAAGGATGACTTTGGACCAGTCACTCACTCTCAGAGCAACCTACCCCCCGGGGTTGCTGCTGTGAGGATCAAATAAGGGGAGATCCCCTTCTAAGCTGCCTTGAGCAATTGGAGGAAAAGCAAGATATAAAGCTGTCAGATAATAAAACAATCTCAGAAGCTTTGCAAAAGATGCTCAGATCTTGACTTGGGACATAAAGGCAGAAAGTAAAACTACTGGTTCCCTTTTGTATAGTTCTTTAAGACATTAACTCCATATTACACTCCAATAAATCAAATAGGGAAAAGCTGCTTTGGATGGGAGAATCCAGAGCAAAGTAATGGGGAAGACCCTTTAACAGTCTGCTTCTTATTCAGATCCCATTTAAAATCCACAGAATAGGGGGCACCCACTGGGCAAGATCTGTTGTAAAGAATAAGGAGGTCAGTAAAATACCTGAAAGGAAGGCTTTAACGTGAAACCTCTAGACACATATGCACAAAAAGGAAGATTACCCAGAAATAGTTTATCTGCCTCTATTACTATATTCTCAGCAAATCTCATGATTCACATTTTAAAGGTGAATTAATATAATATAATATAATTATAATATAATAGGTATCAGGATACTATAACATGACGTTTACAACATGCCCAGGCATTACAGGAGATAAATTATGGTGGATTAAATTGAGAACTAAATAATTCTTCACTCTAATTCTAACAATGGTAAGCTGTATGCTTCTGGAAACTCACAAGTGAATGTTTAAGTTTCAATATAGTTTGCTTGTTGCGTATTTATGATATGTAACATCATATTAAACTGGAAGATGCTTACCAAAGGGGAGATAGTCTGCAAAACACTTGTAGAAGATGGGTTTTTGTTAACGGTTTCATGAACATCTATAAGGGTATAAAATAATGACAAAACTTCAGTTGTACGGTAAGAAAAAGTCATGGCATATATAGTCTTTCCCCTGAATATTATGTGGCCTAGAGTATTATTTTTTAATTCGTGTATGTGTGGAAAGTATTTTATTTTAGAATCAAAATTCAGTTTATTTTTAGAATAATTAATTTTTAATTAAGGGAGAATGATTGTTCAATGACTATTTCATTATTCATGTAATCCCTTCTGAGTCAAGCTTGACTCCTGGTAATTTACTAATCACGCCCATGTAATCTTCTTCTAGCAATATGAAAGTGGACTGACATTGCCCTTTTCTGGGGTGTTCCTTTAGCTTCCCATTCTAGCCTACAATCCTGGTGTTCCCTGGACGTCTCCCCTCCAAGTAATAACCAGTCCACTGTCTGCTGAATGTCTGAGCCCAGACAAGGTTGGTCAAGTACTGCCACCTGCTGATACAATGTAGATCTAACAACCATCATAGTTGTATATTTTTTAATTTTATTTTTGAAACTTCAAGGTGATACTGATTTATAATGAGCTTTCACTAACCTATCATCCTTCACATGAATTAGGACTATAACTCCCATTAGAATAATAATGCTCTTCCTTATATTGCTGAATATTCTACTGCAGTGATAAAATAACCTAATAAACCTTTAAGTCTTCAACAAGATTTCCAGACCACCTTCAAACATTACCATCAAATTACAATGTTAAATGTTACAGAAGGGGAGAATTGCTAAATGCAGGGGATAAATAATATTAATCAGATTTACTTAATTATATTTAGATGTAATAAAATCTAAATGTTAATGTAATCATACATTAATCATACTCTGGTCCTCGCCTTCCTCTTGTTAGAACAGGACTACTACTGCTGCTAAAGATCAACTGTAGGCTTTGACTAAAAAAATGTACTTACTCCTGTTTCCCTAATATACAATGAGATAACTTGATAGAAATGGGTTTAAGGACAAATGACAATGGATTATTCATTATTTTACTTTTCTTCCTCCTTTCTTCTCCATTAATATTTCCTATTTAATTTCCTAATTAATCTACTAGGTAATAAAACAGTATTATTATAGGTGTGGAGCACACAGGGCTATCAGCTGATCCCAAAAATGTATTATACTGATTACTGGCACATTCTAAGTTAGCAGAAAAGAATAAGTTTGTTTTGCCTTAAAATGCTAATATATGTCATTGTTGTATTAATATACTGAAAGTAATTCACTTTAATCTTCTATATCATATACCAGAGTAAACAGTACTACTGTCACCCAGATTTTAATTTTCTAGCTGAGGAAAATAGTACATCTTAGCCATTCAATTCCACTGGCTCAGAAACTGCTCCCTTGATCTGATGGTATAAAATAAAACATATTCAAAGTAATATATTATGACTAATTGAATTTACTCAAGTGAAATATCCTGCCAGCATTTCACATCAAGACTGACTTTTGGACCTGAAGTCCCTGTTTGGCAATGAAAGTAAGGCAAAAAGGAGAAGATAATCTTACTTGTTTACATTTATGTGACTTGTCAAATCCTACTGGTGCGGTTCAGTGTATAATTTTCAAAATACTTACTCTGCAGCCGGTGATTAATGCGGTCAAGTGACTGAAGAACTTTGTGCTCTTCAAATGACAGAGTACTCATTCCTTGCCGCGGGGGTCTATTTCGCATTGCAATCTGCCTATATGGTTGCGATGTATCCAAACCAGCCAAAATTTCACCTTCCGCATTCACTAGGTTTTCTGCTATCAGGAACTGTGTAGTACTATCTGAATTTAAGAACAAAAACATGTACTATGAAAAGCTTTTAAGAAAGATGGGTTAGAAACATCTGGATTGGCTATTGCATTTAATCTGTTTTTTATGTATCTTTCAAAGTTTTGGCACTGTTACAATAGGTTTTTACACATCTTTCAGAAAAACAAAATTGCTTATTCATACTTAGGATAAGCATAATTGTGGCACTACTAGTTTCATCTTAGAGGGTTGCTGAAATTGTATGCATAGAAAATAGATAGACAAGGAATATACCTTTTCTCCCCTCAAAACACATCATATTGACTCTTTAAATTAATTCTGAGCTGGTCCTGTTATAGCATGTTTCAGTAGGACAAGTATATCTGAGTAAGTGTACATCAAACACATGCCTTCATCTTTTCAGAATTCCAGTGCAATGTTTATTTTAATGTACCAATACAAGACATTCCCAGTACACAACTGACAATATCTCAATAGCTTTCTCATTGAATTCAAACCTATATTGACTTCTGTACCCTGTGTACTTAAATTTCCAATTGAAAACCTGTGTCTTCTTTCTTAACTTCCTTCAACTGATCTTGACCATTTTTCTCTACTTCCCTCATATACACGAAGGTGTCAGGCGGCATACATGTTTAATGAATTATTATGTTCCACTCTGAGGGAATGACACCTATAGAAACGAACGACGACCTAATTATTCAGAGCCCAAATCAGATGGAAATATGCTGCATTACCTTCATCAGAATTACTGACGCCGCCTGTGACTCGCACTGGCTCGAACATACACTGAGCTTGCATTGTGGCTTGTGATATATTCTATATAAAAAAATTATCAAGCTATTTTTTTAAAAAGCAACAAAAATGAATTAAAAATCTAATTACATAAAACAGACAGATCATGGTCCAAAAGTAATATATATATATTTCTCTACTGTGGTTACATGTAAAATACATACTGTTAGGTGAAAACAAACTCTCAGTAAAAAAAAAGGCAGTGTACTGATAGTTACTTACACTATTGATTAAAAATGATTACAACGTTTCTAAAAGCTTGTACAAATGGAGTACGCATAAATGTCAGAATACTGACATTTTAAATAGCTTGCTATAAATGTTAGCATCCAGTTTGCTTTACGTATATTTTATTTGGGAACTTTTCCAAATACTTTGTATTTACTCGTAGAACTGTGATGTTTTGGCCAACAGCTATTTTTGATATTTTGACACAGTAATTTATCAGACCGTACCTGTCCAGCACTACTGGGTTTCCTTCCTGAAGAGCCTGACATTTGTCTCCTCTGTTCTAAAAGAGCCTTGCGTTTATTTTCATTATTTTCATTAATTTGTTTTCGTCTTGCAAAAGCAAAATGGGCTGAAAGTGATGAAAAAGCCCCACAAAAAATAGACTTGATTATCTTAAATTTAACTTATCAGGGTAGTTTTAACTTTATATTTTTGTTATAAGCCATTTTGAACATTCATTCATTCATTCATTCATTCATATATATATATATATCAGACAAATCATAAACACAAGGATCCCCAAAGTCAAGTGAAAAAAAAATGCATAGATCGCATAACCTCATCTTAATCTTTGTATTATATTGGCAATGCTTGATTTCCTAAATGATACATATATGCTTGCTTTTGTGTGACAAGTTTGCAATGAGGGTGTGAGGAAAAATAAAAATCAGGATAACACTGAGAGAAAAAGGATTAAAAACCAGTACTCATTTTCCCCACAGATGCATTTTTCCTTCTAAAAATGAAATATGATTCAATCACTGATTTTCCATTAATTTTGAAGGAGGCATCATCTCTCCACAGTGTATAGGAGAGCCTTTCTCAGCCCTACAACAGGAGAGGTTTCTAGTACAAGAAGTTGAAAACAGAACCTGCCATTTTCTCCAAAATGTGGGCTCATCCAATGAACTACAGGCCCATGCTAATAGTAACTACAATGTTTAGGGCATGGTTGTAAACCACTAAGTTTGAATGCTTTGGTTAGATTGATCAAACAGAATTCTAGTTTATCAGTAGCAACAGATTCTAAATGCAATTAACAATTAGTGGAGTTGAAAGCTAAGGAAAAATTGTTAATTATAACCAATTTAATTCTGGTATAAGTTCTTTAAAACCTGATCAGCACTGTTAGTCTGAATGTTCTGAAAAGGGAAACAGTAACAGTCCCAAGTAATATGCAAGTGAAGGAAGAAACAACTGCTGAATAAAAATATCACCAACAATTCCTCCAATATAAATATCTTTTCCAAATACACATTTCCATAAGCTTTTCATACACTAAAAGTATAACATATGCTAATAAAAATTACAGATTTCTAGGTACTGCACTGATTAAAAGAAGTTATTTTTTACTGAATTGCATAATTGTTTGCCAATGTATCCTTTAGTATTCTTTCAACATAAAAACCTCACAACAAAAATCTTACCACTTGGTTGGGAAGAAAAAATAGGATTCACCCTAACACCTGATTTCATATTGCTCATCAGATTGCCACCATCTATAGTGATGTGAGACACATTAGATCTAGTGTGCTGCAAGTCACCATTATTTGAATTATTGCATAAGGAAGCATAATGCTGTGAATCGCCTGAAAGTAATAAAAAACAGAAAAAATCCAATTACATTAGCATAATTCAGCTTGAGAACATAGAATTATTATTTTTTAATCCAGGAAGTATGAGTTCTTACTTATTTAAAAAAAGAAGCATTACTCTTATTTGTACCTCTTTCCTGTGAGGGGGACAGAACTATTACTATTAATGCCATTATTAACACTACTAGTAGTAATATTAATAGGAACATTAACAATAATTGCTTTAAAACTGTCAATATTATCTATGAGGATAAAGTTATAATCAGATGTAATTCACTAGCAAACCATGAAACCAAAATTACAAGGGAACAAAGCTGGTTTTACAACTTTGTACGCAAACACACTTCTGAATCAAGAAGTAAGGTCACAGAAAATAAATTGTCCATATTTTTAGCACAGTGGAGTTTGAATGGGAAATGGGAACTATTTTTACTCACAGAATTTTGCAGTTCTCTTCAGTACATTTGTACTTTTTTTAAAAATAAAGCAAAGGTATATCAGATGTAAGTGCAGTCTTTTTTATTTTTTATTTTTATTTTTGTAAAAAATAAATGTTACCCTGTGTTATAAAGGGTATGCAATGGGGAAAATATGGAAAACAGGCAGGTAAATTAAGCACACATTCCATTTAGAAGTATGTACAACAGCCATTAAAACTGTAAAGGCAGATTTGCTCTAAAGTGAATATATGCACACATACACACAAATTCAGACATCTCATCATCCTTTTCTCTTTTGGGATAAAAAAGGTTTTGAGTTAGGGTTAACCCTTATCTTTCACTAGTTCTCTCAGTTTTTTATACTAAAGATTTTGTTGTTATATAGAGTTTGCCTTCTGGAGGCTTATGATCTGTTTCTGTTTAAAATTGTTCTTACATTTTGTTTTTTAAATGTAAGCCACCCAGCGACATCTGGAGTCAAGAGGCTTCTAAGCTGTATTAAATAAATAAATAAGATTTATGTTCATCCTTTTATCACATGTATTTATTTATTAAATTTATATGCTGCCCAACTCCCAGAGACTTTGGGTGGTTTACAAATTGCAGTTTACAGATTGTTTAAAACACTAAAATAAGAAAACACAAAACAAAGATCAAAGATGGCAGAGATAACAAACCCAGACGGGAACAAAGAAAAAAAAGAAAAGGGGGCTTCAATCACGCTTATAAATGCATTTTATAACCGCTGTCAAAAAGATCAGAAGCCGCTTCTTTATAATCTTTTCTTTTCTTTTCCTTTTTTCTATTTTCTTTCTTATTCACTATTCTTCCATATTTTCTTTGTTTCTTTTCTAATATTTGTATTGCTTTTATCTTGCTAAAAATTTCTTCAATAAACTGTGTGTGTGTGTGTGTATAAAAATTGGGTATCATCAGCATACTGATGATACCGAACCCCAAACCAGCAGATGACCTCACCTAGCAGTTTCATGTAGATGTTGAAAAGGAGGGGAATGAGACTAGAACCCTGCGGCATCTCACAAAGGAGGGTCCTGGCGATTGATCAATCTATCTATCTAAACAAAAATACCTTTTTCTAAGGAAATATACACTGATACTTTGTATTTTCTTTATTGTCATTTACAGAAACTTTTTAAACATTTTTATTTGGGATTTATAATTTTAGTTGGAAAACTGTGTATTTTACCAGTCAGTGACAGCAGTAAGGTCATTCATTCATTCATTCATTCATTCATTCATTCATTCACTGAGCAGTCACCATTCTCATTCATTCTTGGGTCTCCAAATGGCCCAATCGCTCTCTCATCTCATTCCCACTCATTCATTCATGTTACTTAGCAGGACGTTTTTTCTCTGGATCACATTAATTCAGAATGTTGTATATTTTTTCCCAAAATTCATCTCTGACTTTTCCATTATCACCATTCACTGGAGCATGACATGCAGCTGTCATCAACCAGTAGATTCTTCCTTTTATGCAACCTATGTAACACCAATTCATACTTTCTGACACACATTTTTAGCTCCTTCATTCATAATTAAACCTATACTTTCACTTCTCTCTGAATGAAAAAAATGATACACTCAGGATACCCAGTATGGAAGAATAATGTTCCTTTAGGAGAGACCCTATATAAAAAGAAGCATTACAATATGCAATCTAGGAATAATTTTTTCTAACATGTCTTTTTTATGTTGGGACTCCTAGAGAAAGATAACCTGACTATAGTTATTCAGCTTCTGGTATTATCATGCAACGATAAAAAATAGTTCAGAAGCTACATTTACTAAAAAATATAGCAATTAAATTATTAACTGGAATATCCTTCGATCTTATATATTTTTTTAAAATTGCTGTTCTTAACTTTTAAAGTTTTTTTTAGAAAAAAAAACACAAGTAGGGTTTGTTGCTGGATTCTATTTTTTGTCACTAATAAGGAAGGCGCTCTCATGGTCAAACCATCCCTCCCCCGAGGTGCTTTGGTTCTGAGGTCACCTGCACCTAGGGGTGACCAACAACTGGACAACTAGGTTTCTTTGCTGCCACCACCCCTTTGTTATAAACTAGAGTTCCACACTAGTCCTCTGGGGAATCAGGAGAGGACTGAAAAGGAAATCCTCACCCCACCCCAGGTCTGGCTGAATACAGAAAGGGAAAGCAATAGTGCAGCCAAGCTGAGGTGGGTGCTAGAAGGCAACCAGTCAACTCCAGGATTTAAACAAAAATAAACTTTATTAAAGGTGCCAAAAGAAGATAAGGTTCCACTCACACTATACTCAGTAAAAAAAGAGATAAAATACACAAAAACACACCCTAAGGCAATTCTAACTACAGCCACACAACTCAATTTCCAGCCTTGCCTGAGGTCACCCCTCATCCAGCACTCCAGCCAACTCTCAAAACTCCCCAAACTCTTCCCAACTCAAAACCTGACAGAACCTCCTTCTTTTCCTTTATTGGTTCTCAGGGGTCAGGTGACTCCCTGTGAGGACATAAGGCTGGCTTGTGATTTAAAGGGCCAGCTACTCCACACTATAGTCACATACACTTTTATTACTGGTGTAATCAAGCAAGTTTTAGGTTACTTTAATATCATGTGTTCATTTTAGGCTACATTCCTGTTAGGATAAAGGAGAGCATAACAATATTTTAAATGAGCAACCACCACAAGAAACAGTTTTGGAGTGTTTTTTGCCATTTACAAGCATAAACATGCTTTGGCAGGACTCTCGGCTGGACTCCTCACCCTCAATGCAGATATTATTTGGGCCCTCCAGTAATGGTGATGTTACCTCTCCTTCCCCATCATGAACAGACATCCCTAGCTCTCACAATGCTGCGGGAGGAAAAAACAAAAACAAAAAACGAAGGTCACCAGGTATCAACTAAAGACGTGCAGCTACTCTGCTTCTGCCCAGTTATAGCTCAAGCACTTCTATTGCATAAGCCTGTTTGTTTGCAAGGGGCAAAGGGATGCCGATGGCTGCCCCAATGCCACCATGAGGAGAGGGCGCTAAGTGACACAAAGAGTGTTGGAGAGCCCATCTAGGGCAAGCAGTGTAAAGTTCCAAAATTTAAATCCAAGATGATAACTATACAATGGTATAAAATACTTTATTTGAATGATTTATTTAGAAAATGTATATGGCCACCCATCATGCATATGAACTCTGTGCAGCTAATAACAATCAGTAAGAACAATATAATAAAACCGATATCAATTAACCCTCCCCCCAAACCCCACAGAATTAAAAGACAGCACAATAACTAAAGCACTGTAGAACAAACTCAACCACACAAACCACACCTAACATCCTTGGCCAGCACAGGGGGAAAAGCCAGGTCTTTACAGCCTTCTGGGAAACCAGGTGGGTTGGGGCCCTCCAGATCTCAGGGAGAAGGTGGTTCTATAGGACAGGCATTGCAACAGAGAAGGTAAGATATAACTATTATCCCACCCCACTATGGGGTGATTTATGATTTAATTTATGATTTAATTCAGTTACATTTTAAAAAATCTAGGGTGCTTCCATTCCCCAATCACAAAAGCACTGTGGTTTAATCTATTATGGTAACACTCCTCATGACTAAAAATACTAGGTCATTCCATCCCTACAGTTGTTTCACATACAATGGGTAGAGTAAGTTTAGAAGCAAGAAAAGGATACTTGTTCAAAAAGAGTTTTTTACTTTGAATTAGAATTAAGTTTGTCTCTTTTGGTATGTCTGTGTCCCATTAATTATTCATTCCCCTTGAAGAGATTTTCATATTTTATAAAACCAGAAATGTAAAAGATTCTTATGAAAAAATTGAGATGCATCTTACCAGCAGCACCATCCCTTTGAACCAATGCACGATGTACTCCTTGCCACAAAATTGTGATTTCTTCATCAGTTGGTGTGCGATCTGGACATAATCCATTTTCTGAGAATATGGGACTTCTCCTTGAAATGTTGTTGCAGTAGGCAACTGGTGGAATCGTATTCATAATGCACTTTGCCTTTGTCAAAGGCTCATAGGTATATATACTGTAGGAAGGTCTGATAGTGGCTATGTGAGAATGGCAAGAGCTACCTGAAGTTGAAGGATCTTCTGTATAACCTCTTCCCAAACTTTGACTTTCGGGCAACAGATTCTTGTCGCTCTGACTATTTTCAGCATCTGTGGAAGGCTTATTCAAATTTGATGATTGACACACACCATCTGTAGGATTTTCATCTGGCTTTTTGCTTTGTATAGGTTTACATGGAGGGTGGGGCATTATGATTTTGCCTGGAGCTCTTACTACTTTAGTAGCTTCACTAGCAGACTGTGGTCGGATAATGGCACTCTTCCGGTTTTTAGTTAATACAGTTGATGATGGAACCTTGGCAGATTTTGGTCTTTTCATCATTTTTGTTCTACCTTTCCGTGGATTCATTTTTGGATTTTTAGGATCACAATTATATATAAGAGGTATAATTTCTTCATTTCTTGGTGCCATCCATGCTTGCTTAGCAATATGATACCCTTTAGACACAAAGACACTGTGTATTGCATTCTCTGAGTTTCCAACACTAGTAAGTTTGGCAGATGTTTGAGAATTCTCTAAATTATTTTCTGGAAAAACAGAATTGAGCAAACAAGACGGAATGCTTCTAATGTTAGTTTTAGAAGCAGTGGCTTTAATTTGAAAGCCAGGTGCTTGGGGCTGTACCTGAGGTATTTCACTAACACTTGGTTCTGAAACTTTTTCATCATCATTAGCTTCCACTACTCTGTTAATTTCATCAAACCACCTTAGCTTTTTAGAATTCTTTTGAGCTTCCCCATCTTTCCCTTTTATTTTTGCCAATTCAACACTGTCTCTAGCAGAAGCCACAGGCTGATGCCCAAATCTGATACCTCTGTTTACAACCATTGCTTTGAAACAGCCAAGTTCATATTTAGATTCCTTTTTTAAAATGCTTTTTGGTAGTTTCACCACTTTTCTCTCACACATATTGTCATTCTTCTGCTGGTCAAGGTCAGATAAGTTGGTTGCTACATCTCCTTGGGGCATAGGTAAAATAATTTCAGCCTCTTTTCCTTCTCCATTGCCTTTGTGCTGATCAGTGCTGCCTTTAGAAGGCTCTTCAAATGTAGATGCCTCAACATTAACATGGTCAAAAGATTTTTCATCTTTAACTTCAGCTACATTATCTATATCTTCAGTACACCTTGCTGCATGAATATCTTTTCCCTTCTGCATGCAATTAAGTAAGAAGCTGTTGCTGTAATAGGAAGTGATATTCCACTGTTGATTAGAGAAGACTACATTGGGACTGAAGGTTTGTGCTGATGAAGTTTTGTTGTTCTGAGAAAGTTCAAAATTCTCTTGTTCTGAAACCGCAGGAGGAGGATCAGGGACAGTCAATGCTTTATTTAATTTGGCTACAAGTCTGTCAGCAGCTAAAGGATCCCCTGTGCTAATTATGTTTGAAGACGGACAGTTCAACAGAAAGCTTTTGTCTTCTGTTTTATTTTGTTCAAAAGTTAGATTACCATCAGAAGCACATCTCTCAGACTCTCTCTGTTCAGATGAAGTTGGAACTGATGATTTCAGGTCAGGACTGCATGTGTCCTCATCAGATGGTACAACATTGTATTTAATTAAAATGTCACGAAAAGGGGAGGTTGTCTGGATATTTGAAGTATTTAAATTTATAAGCCAATTATTCACATGCTGATTTTTAGAAAAAGTATCCTCACGTTCAGCTGATAAATGTTTACTTCTGCTCTTTGATCCTTCTGAATGCTGGACTGAAGACTCCAACTGAGTAGATAAAGATGAGGTTTTAGAGGGTGCTCTGCAACTTCCATTTGGTTCTCCAGCCTCAAGGCTGTCAACACTACAAACACTTCCTGAACGGGCTATTTCATTTACTTCTTGATGAAAATCCTGAGCAAGAAAAATAAAATATGAAGATAATTTAACATGGTTCCTACTTCATCATAGTTTTCATTCAGTTTCAGAAAAATCTGGGAAATTCCATGAAACATAATAGTAAGACATGTTTAGGTCTGTAGTTCAGGGCAAAAAGATGAGCTTACTGATGCTTTGTGCCAAATTGACTGATTTTTTTCAGACATCACACAACTTCATTTTTAGGTACCCCAATTTTAGGGTGACACAATTTTCAATGTTTAGGTTCTGGCATGCACATATTCTTACAACTTCATGCCTATAATTCTTCCATTTTCGTGTCACCTGTTCATCTGAAGATATCCATAAAAATATTTCTAGTCTGATGCTACAACTGTAGACATAATATTACCTATGAAATTGGTTGGGATACACAAGGCCAGTAACTGTGGCATCTAGCAAGAATATTTTGGATATATCTGATTGTTGAAAAGCTCCATAAAACAGAAATTAAAAATGTTTTATTTCATTATATAAAAACTGATCTGAATATTATATTTTCTCTTTCCTTACTTAGAAAAAAGAACTAATTAAACTTGTTTAGCAACTGATAACAGATCCATAAATGTTTATTATGGAATGTGGATTTTATTGGAAAAATAGAAACTATAGTTTAAATAGAAAATTCTCAAGTATAAAGCATTCACAAACATACAAATATAACAATGAAGATGCCATTGCACTGAGATTTAGAAATGAACACTGTATTTATTTTGAGGTATAGCTATATACATTTGTACTAATTATAGGATTAGGTTGATTTTTTTACTGTCTGAGAAAAGGAATTTCAGGTATTTATAATTCTGCTGGGCTTATAGAATGGCAAACTGAGAAGTCAAATAAACATAAAGTGCAATCAAATAAATATGATGTGCAGTCTGATTTTTGCACTCCTCCATGTAATCATGTTACATGCAGTGATTTTGACTGACATGAGAAGGCAACAAAAAACAGCTTATTCATATTGTGACAGAATGCTCTACAACAATCATAAAAACTGTTTCTCACATCTCACCTTTATTTAATAAAAATGGTTCTTAGTTTATAGCAGTCGAAGAGTAAAATAACAAAAACATCGGTGAAACAATTTCAATAGTTACTCTGTTCTATTTTCATTTGACTATATGTTTATATCCCAATATAAATAATAATCAGAAAGAGAATGGTCATCAATATTTGTACAGCTAGATATGGTTCATTACAAAAGACTCGGTGTCTCCTAGTGGCTATTCGATGTAAAAAAAAAAAAAAAGTTAAATTGTTCACAGCATTATTTTATAATTCAAGCAACTACAGACACTCTTCCTTCCCAATTCTTCAGCTCAGATGCCTTCTGAACAATAAGTATAGTAGAATAGTAATTGCCTAGCCAGAATAATTTACTAGCCCCAAATATTTACCTCATCAAAATTCTGGGTGATTAAACAATTTTATACAGCAGGAAAATTAATAATTAAATCCTTCCTACCACTAACTGAGCTGGTCCATAGAATCGAGAATCAGACACGATTGAACTGATAGCATCATCATCATCATCATCACCACTAACTGAACTACTTCAAATCAATGATATTAAATACCATTCTTTGGAACAATAGATATAAGCCTGGCTTTAAACAAAAAAGGGCAGGATTGTTTAAAAATAACATGCACAAATGTTCTCTGAGCATCCAAGAGCACAGTATTGAAAGGATAGGGTACATGGTCCAGAATCAGCTCTATACCACCACTACCCCCAAAAAAATCCCACCAAAAATGTGGAATATAAATAATAGGATAGAAAGGATAAAATGGATGTAATAAACTTTTTACACTAGGAAATTTACAAGTGCTAAGCCATAACAATTTTGTCAGTATCTAGGATATGAATATATCAATATCTATTCAAAGTAAGGTCATCTTTTAATTTAAAATCTGCTACCAGTAATCTGAACTGTACTTCACTTAAGTTTGAAAAAAATATTGGGTACTTCCCCCAACACTCACAGGCAGAAATTCAGTTGTGTCCTGTGCTCCAAGCTAATATTTTCTTTTTCAGTGATTATATTAGCCAGTAAGATAATACTGCAGTAGATATTTGAAAACAATCGAATTTTATTTAATTGGAGTGGGAAAGGGTTATATTAATTTTTCTTTAGGAAGTCTGATTTGAAGTCAGGATATTTCTGTTAAACCCATCAAAAGCAATTAGAATATTAAGCATGCCTGCTTAGATATTTTGAGAATTCTTCTTTTAAGAAGAAAAAGTTTAAAGTAATCATACCTGAAGGTTGCTGAAATGCTGTTTTTGTAATTGCTGCTGCATTTCATCTAGATTTTGTTGGAAGAGAAGTTGGCCATTACCCAGATTTGTCCTGTTTTTTGCCTGTAGTGTCCTATCACAAACAGGTTTTGCTGAGTTCTGTTTCCAATGAAAAGGACCATTTCTGGTACTTGAAGAATCTGTCTCAATGGAGCTTGGAAGGATGAAACATTACCATTATTTCTTGCTAATGTTCACCAGGTTTATGAACAAAATGCCATAATTAACTGTTTTAAAACAAATTACAAGTGCAACTTCTAGAAAACTGGATCCATTTAATAGCCAATAGCTAATATATAGTATTCTTGAGAACTGTATTTTAGTTTTAAAAAAAATTGTCCAAACCTATGAACCGAACTAGAACTATGTAGCTGTATTTTACTGTTGTGAAATGCTTTCCTAATTCTTAAGCATATACATGATTAAATAATGTATTTTCATCTTTAATTCTTCTGCCTTCTGTTTATAGATTGAACTGAAATGTTTAGATATTCAACTGAAACACTATTTACTCATTTACTATAGCATTTTTATTGTTGAAAAATTGTTCATACTGCTTGGTTATTTTCTGATGCTTTGTATGTTTAATATATTAGTTTGATCTTCTTTTTGAAAAGAAAAGCACATTAAAATAACATAATGGAAAAAAAGTCCTTATATTTCCTAGGGTTTTTTTCCTTCCAGTAGTTAGTATCTTTTTCACTGTAATAATGCATAATTTGTGTCTCAGTTTGTGGATGGTATTTCACCAGTCTAACAAAATAGGTTAAGTCTCTGCCCAGACATGTCTAGATAATCTATTAAAAAGCCATTTTGCTGTTTTAACATAAAAGATGTAGTTTTGAACATAGTGCATTATAAGAACAGCACTGTGTTCCTAAATCTACATGGTGGTATTTTCCCCCTGCATGCCTCTTTCTACATAGATTTCTTTTCTTTCTATTTTCCTCATGTTCTGGTACCTGGAAACATAATAAAATCTTTCATATAGGTTTATAATTAAGAATACTACTAAGCATTTGATACAGGTAGACCTCGCTTACCAATTGCTTCATTCAACAACTGTTTGAAGTTACAACGGTGCTGAAAAAATAACCTTACGACTAAAGCCCACATTTATGACTTTCACAGCATCCCTCAGTCATGTAACCGCTGTTATAGTCAGTACACTTGTGTCTGACCTGTTGTTTTTCTTTCCCCCCCCCCCTGCAGAGTAAAGAGATTGGAGAGGAAGGGATTTAAAGAGAGAAAGCAGGCACACAATGGGGAATACACATAGAAAGGAATGTGGTGGTGCTGGCAGCCCTGAGTGCACTATGCAAACAGCCTGGTGTATTCCCCATTGTGTGCCTGCTTACTCTCTTGTAATCCCTTCCTCTCCAATGAATGTAAATACAAACATTAATTCCCTTCTTGCTAATTATCCCAGCACAGGGATAAGCATTCCAAGGGCAGAGGCGTGGTTAGGAGGCAAACAAGCTGAAGGTGTTAAATTGATTAGTTTTGTCAGTTACAGTCAGCAGCTGCCAGAGACCTCAGAACCCAGGTGAGCATTCTGAAGGGTGGGGGAGTGAGGAAAAGGAAAGCACAGTCACGGTCACATGATTTCCCACTTAGCGACCACTTCACTTAACAACAGAGCTGCCAATCCCAATTATGGTCTCTAAACAAGGACTACCTGTATAACAATCTGAACATTTGGTAGTGATAATAATAAACATCTGATTTCAAATTAGTTGTAACTGCAGCAGTTTTATGTAAACTGCATAATGTATTGGGCAAATATGTTTGTATGTATATATTTAAAACATAGGTACAAAATATTATCTCAATCATCTTTTAGTAAGAATTGGAGAAACGTGCAACCTTCAGAATAATTTTATTGCATGCCATAGAAGGATAACACAACACTGTAAACGACAAGTACAAAACTAGTGGTTCTGAACTGATACAGCACAGTTAAGTACTTTGAGGCTGGCATGTTGTTTAGAGAAGCCATAAAATAACAGAAGCACTGAATCCCTGGCAGAAGCAGATTCTGTGGCAGAAGGAAGGGGACTGTAATGGACTTTCGGATTAAGGGGGGGATCATTTTAAATGTTCAGAGGATAATATTCTCTTGAATTACATATCAGTACATGGAATTTGACAATTGGACAACATAAATGGATTCTCTGTGCTCTTACTATGGCCAAAAGACAGATACTGCAGCACTGGGAAGATAAATGTATGGCTCCATTTATTCAATGGATTGAAGACCTGATTACACTTGCCACCTATGAGCGGATTGCCTATACAGTAGATGTAGATTTTATATGGACAAGTATAGTGAAATATGAAACTCATTTATACAAAATACAGTAGGTTAAAAAAGGATGATAGTTACAGAAGCATATTAGAAATAAATACACACTTGAATAATATTTACATCAGATAAGTATATATAGAATTGTAACTGCTAACTGTTCTAACGATATATTATACTTTGTTTCTTTTTTTTTCTGTTGCCTTTTTTTCACTTTTTTTTAAAGCATTTTGTGTGCATTGTTTTGGGGGAGGATATATGTATCTGCATCGTAATTATCTTTGCGTTCTGTTCCTTTTTCTTTTTGTTACTATTTTAAAAGCAAACAAAAAAAATTAAAAAGAGGGGGATCACTTTTGAATACTATCATTTTTCCAAGAGGAAGCAACTGCTAACCAGTGGTAATCAGCTGACCTCTACTCTTTCAATGGCAAAGGAAAGGACCACTCTGATGCAGAGGCAGGTGTATGCTATGCCACCTGCTTATATTGCAAAAGGTTTTGAGCTGGTACAAACAAGCAAAGCATTTTATCACCACAGGCTCATCCACTCTTGAAAACAGATTCAATCTATCCTGACCAGGGCAGAGTCAAATGATCAGGCAACGGGGAAGAATGGCCTAATAGGTCAGACAGAACTTCCCAGACACATAAGCAGAGACTTGGTAGGTCAATATGGAAGATAGGAAATGACACAAATATGGGGCCAAGTAATATTGATTTCCAGCGTCACTGGTAAAGTGTTGATGTTGAATGACCATTCAGTCAGCCTGACGAAGTTTGTCAGGATCAGTACCTAATGCAAGGTCATGCTTCCACTACATATCTTGCCACTGCACACCATTTTCAGCAGTGCCTACAACAAACCAGAGGCTGTGCATGTTGAAAGAAACTACTCCTTATCACCCCAAAGTAAGCTTTAGCGATGACTTTCACAAGATCTTGTATACCTACCCAGGTTTCTTAGCTCTACAATGACTGCTATTTTTAGAGAAATTGATCAGCAATAAGAGATATTTGCTAATGTTATATTTAACCAATCAGTATCAGTAAAGACTTCTCATACATAGAAGCTCTTGCACCTACCTGTGTAAAATTTGGCAGGATTCATTCCTACAAAAGGGACAGTTATGCCTGCAAATATCATCCCATTATCTATCTACCTATCTAGAGTTATACACCTTTTTAAAAGATAAGTTTAAAAACTTTGGCATCAAAATCCTTTTACTTCTGCATCTGAAATCTGGATGGCTTTATCCCCTTAGCAAAACTCTGGTATACCCACAAATTTCATCCTACTCTTCTACTAATTAAAATGTCAGCCATTTGTTAATTTTATATGCTAGTTAATGGGAGGAATAAAACTTCAAGTTTCTGAGCCTTTCTTTGAATTCAGCCCTAATCAAGTGGCCTGTGATTTGACATGAACTGGACTGTTTCCTAAATCTTAGGAAATGCTGTATCTGAAATGGAAGGATTTAGCATGTATAAAACCAGTAAGGATCAAAGCATAAAACAACATAAACAAGAACTTAAAATCATTCAGAACTCATGGGTTTATTCAAAATTGAAGATAATAATTTCTTATGAAATGAAGAGAATTTGATAAATGATATCAAATTCCCAGAAGAATCTGTGAGAATATCCAGCATTGTAACATCAAAGAAAGGAACTTTGGCAAAATGTTGTGTAGCATTTCAGAGTTTTACGTAGGAAATACCTGAAGTGAATAAGCTAAGAGTTTCAAAATCCAATTATAAGCATAAGAATAACCATACTGAAAGACTGTATTAGCAGTCCTCTTTATTACAAATACTTTCCTTGTACAGTAGTTTCAGAAGATTAGCCAATTTATGTAAGCTATTTTGTGTAATTATTCTCTAAACATTAGTTGTTGTTTCAATGACCCTATTCTTGAATTGAATAAAATAATTTACCTTCCAGTGACTCTGGATGATGATAATCCTGACACCTGAATTTTCTGGGCTTCATCCAATTTATTTTCTGGCTTTCTCTGCACTGTAGTAAAAAACAGGCAAAACATTTGATTAAATATCAGATTCTTAATATAATATTGGGAATATTTTTTTAAAAAAAATGCCTACATGTCTAAAAAATGGTTCCATGCACTATTCCTTTAATCCAATCTTTAATATGTCTACCTGCAACAAGAATGAGACATCTTCTGGCTCTGGAGACTGCAATGGCTTCCATAAAAGACTTTGGGGATATCACAAGTGTGGAACCATGACCAATACTCATATTTTCCCTCATTCTCCCTCTTTCTCACACACAGCCACACATAGCTTTCTTAGAGAAAAATTGTTATTAAAAAACAATGTTATCATTTATTTATCATCACCGACATTTCTATGCTGTATATTCCAAATGACCCTAAGCAAAAGACAAAGATTAAACACAAGACAGACAAGACCAACGTAAATCTTAATGCCACAATCCAGCAGGGGCAGACCCAAACTTAACATCTTCCAAATGCTCTCTCCCATAGCCAGGTTTTCACCTCTATTCAGAAGCTCATGAAGGAAGCAGTGTCTCTATGTATACCGGTAGTCTTTGGGTTATGACAACTCATTCAGTGACTGTTAAAAGTTACAATGGTGCTGAATGAGGGGGTTTATGACTGGTCCTCTAAGTTGTGGCCATTGCAGCATCCCCATGACCACATGATCCTGATTCAGGCGCTTGGCAACTGGCTCACAATTACAATGGCTACAGTGTCCCACAGTCACGTGAACACCATTTGCAAACTTCCCTGCCAGCTTCCCCCAAGCAAAATCAATGGGGAAGCCGGAAGGAGGTTGCAAGTCGCTCTCACAAGTCACTTCCACTCCTGCCACTTTTTCTTTCGAGGACCCTCCAGGAAGCACTAAAATGGATAGTAAAATTTGTTCCTGCAAAACGTTATAAATTTTTACTGCATAATTTATATTTTTGCTGAGATATTTTAGCTAATTAGATTGACAGCAGACACAATGTCAGGTCAACAACTGATTTGATTTTAAAAACCTGAAAAGCCTTTGGTGCAGCAAGCTAATTTATTTACCCTCTGATTTTACATAATTGCACTGCTGTTTACAATTAATATTCTATTTTTGAAAAATGAAAGTATTTCTTCATTGCATACATTTCATATATATATTATGGAATGCTCCTAGACCAGGTATTCATTTGACTGATTAGTATTCATCTGGAAGAGCCAGTTTTAGCGACTAAGGCACCAGGCTAGAAACCGAGAGACCATGAATTTTAGTCCTACTTTGGGTATGAAGCCAGTTGGGTGACCTTGGGCCAGTCATACTCTCTCAGCCCTTGGAAGGAGGCAATGGCAAACCACTTTGAAATCTTGCCAAGAAAACTACAGGGACTAGTCCAGGCAGTCACCAGGAGTTAACACTGACTTGAAGGCACAAAATAACTATAATAACAGCAACAATAATAATACCTCTGTTTACTGACAGAAACAGATATTATTTTACCAACCTCCTCCCTTCCTGTGTTGTGAAGATAAAAGATGACTGCGTTGGAATCTTTCAGTTGCTTCCTGATGTTTCAGTTTCCTCTGCAGCAATATTTGTTCTCTAAATTTTTGTTCTTTTTCTTCATCCTCTTTCCATTTTAATTCAAGTGCTCTATTTAAAAACTATAGCTTTTAGTAATAACAACTACATTTTAAGCATGTCAGTTACACCATTTCATTTAAACACTTCCTTCTCCAACTTTATATTTATTTTTGGGAGAAAATATAGAACTGTAATATAAGACTTAAACAGGATTAACATTATTTAAAAAACAAACAAACCCTGGAAAATCCTGATCATCTGAAAGGCATGATATATCCCACCCACAGCAATCCCTTTAGCAATATCCATAGAGTGCTTTAAAGTCTATGCTGAAAATTAATATTCTAGAAGTAACAGATGCATGTTGTGGTTTTTTATCAGGCAAATTTATTCTGAATAGATCAGGGCTGCTACCATAGAAAATATATTGTTTCTGAAAGGGCTCCTATGAGACATGTTGTACGTTGCATCCATAAAAATAACTGTATTAACAATTAAGTGTTACATCCAATTCACCTGTCCTTATGCATCACTTTCCCTTCTCCACATCTTTGCAAAAATAATCTGTGATTTTACTTTGGTTTCTTATGATCAAAATCTAAGTGCAATGCCTTTTGTACTTAGATGAGTATAATATTAAAAAAAAAAAAGATATGAACAGTAGTTTAGCAGTGTGTCACAGAGTTAACTCAAGGAATCTATTTGTATCCAAGCATATTCCATATCAATTTGTACACTAATGAACTTTATTCAACATTGCACAATGAACAATGGGAAAATATGTGGAATAAAGGTTTGAAATTTACATTGAATTATAATTTAAAAGAAAATGTTTATACAATGATGTATCGTTGGTACTTAACTCCTGATAAGTTATCAAAAATATATGTTGGTGTTTGCAGGGTGAAGGAACCTTTTATCATCTTTGGTGGACCTGTGAAAAGGCTAAAAAATTTTGGGATCAGACATATATCGCTATTCAAAAGATTCTTAAAGTGAGCATTAAAAAAAAACAGAACTGTTTTTATTGGGTTTGATGGAGAAAGGACTGGAGAAACAACATG